GCGTTGAACCAAGATTTCATTATTGGCTGTTTGTGGGACAATTGTGCTGCGGCATTTGCCTATAAATTCACTCAGTTTCACAGTAAACTCCTGTGAAGCTCTTTGAGAAGTTATTCTGACATAAGTTGCTGTACCAAATGCAAGGATTATTATTATTATTATTATTATTATTATTATCATCCTGGCCAACAACCCCTTGGGTAAATTGGTCATTCATCCACAAAACGCACAGTCACTGGACTTTACAGTGAAGCGCTTTGGGATGCCCTCCCAACGTGAAAGACGTTGCCCCAAATTCGTGGCTGTTGGCGAGTCCATGGCATCTTGCCGTGCACCAAATGGCTGCCACGCTGGCCTACAAGATCGGTCATCTCCGCTTGACAAGCGATTACCTTTGCGATGGGCTCTGAGGCGCTTCCAAATCCAAACAATGAAACCAAACGAGGAAACAAAAAAAACCGAAGCAGATGGGCCACGTTCCTCGTCGTCTCCCGTTGTCCCTCTCAGACCCGCCCCGTTCGCACCTCTCCTTTTACGCCTCTCCTCGCGACCACCGGCACCCGCCCACCCGCCCAACCACCCCACCCGCCCCCTCACCCGCCAACCCCACCCCACCCGCCCCCTCCCCGCCCAACCCACCCACCCGCCCCCTCACCCGCCCAACCCACCCCCACCCGCCCCCTCACCCGCCCAACCCACCCCACCCGCCCCTCGCCCGCCCAACCCACCCCACCCCACCTGCCCCCTCATCCGCCCAACCCACCCCACCCACCCGCCCCCTCACCCGCCCAACCCACCCCACCCCACCCGCCCCCTCGCCCCACCGGGTGAGTTGGCGCCTCAGGGGGTGAGCCAATTTGGGTTCGGTGCTTTTGTCGGAAAAGATCCTGGTGGGAAAGGGAGAAAGCGACAAAAAAACAAAACGTTTCGTAAGGTTTAAATTTAAAATAAAAAAAATATATATCTCTCTCTCTCTATGTATATATATATATGCATATCTATACAAACAGAGAAAAAAAACCGCCCAATTTGGGCTTGAAACCCGCCCCACCCGCCCGCCCGCCCCCATCTGACCACGTTGTCAGGGAGACGACACGCGGTGCGCGACCGTTGGTCTCGCGACCGTCGGTCCCAGTGAGTCTGCGCGCGGGAGCAGCGTCGCGCGCCTGCTGCTGGCGGGGTCCTCGAGGACCGTTGAGAGGCGGCCGGGACAGGCGCCTGTCTTTTCAGTTGGGTTCCGCCGGCCGGAGGGGGAGGTTGGTCGTACGCGCGATCTCTCGGCCTTTCGCTCGCCCGTCCGCCCTCCCTCCCTCCCTCCCTCCCTGCCTTCTTCCTGCTGCTGCCGCCATCCAAGTCCCCCCCCCCAACCCACCCACCCACCCACCGACCCTTCCCTCCCCCCACCATCTTTTTTTTAAAAAAAAGGAGCGAGAATGACGGACGGCACCGAAAGAGCCGATGGCAAGATTGTGAAAATGGAGATGGATTACAGCGCCACCGTCGACCAGCAGCTGCCGGAATGCGAGAAAATCGCCAAAGTGAGTGAGAAACCCCGAGTCACTGAGAGCCGGGCCTCGCTCTCTCGCTCGCTCGCTCGCTGAGCCAGACCGACCGACTTGACCGAACTCGAATGGCTTGGGGTCCGTAGGCCCCTGGCGCGCTAGGCCCCGGAGCCTGGGGCTCGCTTGACAACCTCCCCCCCCCCCCCCCCTCACCACCCACCCACCCCCGATGCCAGGGTCTTTTTTTTGACGATCGGGCTTTTTTTTTAAAAAAATAAAAATCTCCCCCCACCTCGCCCCGGGTTAAAATTCAACCGCACGCACGACGCGCCGTGGTATTTAAATAGAAATAACGAAGGGAATTAAGTGTTTGGAGTGGCTGCGGTGATATTAGACCGAGAGGGGAGGGTTGGGCGGGGAACAGCTTCACGATCGGCGAGTAAATACTTTTCTTTTGATTTGACGGCCGGAACCCGTACCCGCACGAACCCGTTTCGAAACCCGTGTTCTGGGTCGAATTTCGAGAGATGACGAGCGATTTTTTTTTTTTGGGGGGGGGGGCGGTGGGGGGTGAGGGGGGGTCTTGGCAGCTCGTAAGCGAAGCGGACGGTCGAATCGATCGGGGTGGGTTGGGGTGGGGAAAAAGTGCTTTTTGAAAGTTTTTTTTCGTTCAGGCGCCGATGAAGCGGGACACTTGTTTATCGAAGTGGACCGAGAATCGCTGAGTAAGGGTAGCGAGTGTCTAGAGTGGGGGTACTATCGCAAGGCCGCCCCCCCCCCCCACTGCGCCGGTGTGTGACATTTCCTGACCGCAGGGCCCCGGGGATTGAAGCTGCTCGGGGGGGGGGGGGGGGGGGGTTAGACCTCTGACGGAATTAGTGGCAGTTCTGATTTCGAAGGCCTCGGCCCAGGAACAGGATGGAGAATGCCGGTTTTGGGGGAGAAGTGTTGGGCAAAATGGCTTCCCGGTGTGTGTCTGTGTGTGTGTGTGCATTGGATTGGGTTTTGAGCACAGGGGACTGGAACAGGGAGCTGCAATGTCTGCTTTGTCCGTCTACCCGTTCCCGCGGTCCTGTCTCTTCCAGAGTCGTTTATTCAGCTTTGCTTTTGCTGTGCATTTTCATAAAGACTGAGCATCTTATCTCTCCGTCTTGTGCTGCGTTCATGTCATTTAGGTTACAGTATTGGATTTTATCCGTGTAAACCGGGAGAGTTTCCAGAATTATTGGGATGCGCGTATTAGCCTCTAGTCAGTGAAACGACAACTAATCACATTTGAACAGCGCCTTTCACTCCAGGAGGACGTCCCAAGGCGCTGGGGAATGTAGAGGGCAGACAAAAGCAAGCATCCAAATAGGTTCAAGGGTCTCCCTCTGTGCTGTCAATTTTATGATTCAAACTTTTTGTAATAAACTTTGTTCAGTGAATTTGGAAATGTTAATTCTATAATGATCTAACCCTGCAAGCCAAAGCCCTAACAGGCAGGGTAACCAGAGCCGGATGAGCAGGGGCCATCAGCGATATCAATGGCAAGCTTTGTGGTTTTAGCTGGTTAGACTCCAGCAGTTATCCCAACAATACTCTGAGGTCCCCGGGCCTTGGCTCTTGCCAACCTGCACTTAATACTTTCTGGAATTAGGTAAACGGGATGCATCCCTCCAGGGAGAAAGTGCGCATTCCATTCCAACAATCTATCTCTGGGATTTCCATGTGTGGGATGGATAGAAATCTCAGCTTGGTTTTGGATACACTTAAGCATGGTAATGTGCTTCCACATGCGTCAGATACTAAGGAAATCTAGAGCAATTCCTTCTATTCAAGCGTATGGTGCAGCAACATTTAAACTTTAAGCCTAAAGGTTTTAGTAATTACTTTATTGTATCCTTTATTCGTGAGGATTCATAGTGCTATTATGTTTTGGGAATGTAGCAGTACCAAAATCCTAGAGTCCAAATATCTCAGATTGCTGTTGTGGTCAAGGGTAGGTTTGAGGACAGAAACCATTAGCACTAACTACTGTACAAGTGAGAAATATGTGGTTTGTGCAAAATTACTAGAATATTTCTAGTGGTTAGTCCTGTTTATACAAAATTTTTACAGATTTTATTTTCAAGTTTGTTTGGAGTTTGCCATTTTGGGTAGGCTTAACTGTGTCAAATCAGTGAGAAGTTGCACTTACTCTACAGGAAACAGGCTGCAATTGGTGAGGGAAAATATTACAATAATAAATGTAAGGCTTAGTCATCATTTTTCTGTCACATGGGGCGGGGGCATGAGAAATTAGCAAAATTCAAAAGGTATAAAGCATTTAATTTTTTTAATGTTTTTTTTTTGTTTTTGGTGTGTGAGAGGTCAGGTGAAGATGGGGGAGTAACCATTGTAATTTTATTTTGTGGGTAAGTTATTGCACAGCCATCACATTTTAGAACTGTTGAGAAGCCTAGGAGTACAAGACTGAGGTGGAGATCATCTGATGGAAGATGAGTCTAGTTGGATGCGTTTGTATACCAAGGATGGGGATGGATGGGTGCTGTTGGCAAAAGTATGTGAACTTCAGCTAGCGTATGGCTGCTCATTCTGTACTGCAGCTATTCATCTTTAAAAGGCATTTTTCTTGTTGTTAGGATGGAAGACTTCAGGAGGCTATTGATAACCTTTTGTCACTGGAAAAGCAGACAAGAACGGTAAGTCAAAGTTTGGTCCAAGTCGCCTTTATATTCCTTTAAATTTAACTCTGTCATTGGTATCTAATTTGCGGAATTTCATAACTGGAATCTCTGTAAGAAGAAATTCCAGACTAGTGAATGGGGCTTCCTTATGAGATGATAATTGTAGCAATAATATTTTTCACACCAACCTCATTATGAATTTTAGGCCTCTGATATGTCGTCAACATCAAGAATCCTGGTTGCCATAGTGAAAATGTGTTCTGAAGCAAAAGACTGGGACTCTTTGAATGAAAATATTGTACTTCTGTCCAAAAGGAGAAGTCAGCTAAAGCAGGTAAGTCCTCAGCTAGAGACCAGTGCTTTGAAACTCGATTTGAATCAAAGAGATGTCTATTGTCAATTTTTAGAAAATGACAGTATAGAACACGGCTCTTTGGGGTAACCAAATCTATTCCAGTAGTTAAATATACTCAGCAATGTAGGAAGTCAAAGCTCCTGCATTGCAAGTGCACTTTTTGAAATTGAATGGGTGGTCTTCCGGTAGAAATTAAACGTTGCTACTTCTGTTCCAATGAACGTCTCAAAGTTTAGTTTAAATGAGTTGAAAAGAGCAGATTCTATGTGTTTGGTGATAGTTGAATAATCTGTCTCTCTATGGAAGTCTTCAAACTACAGTACAAGTGAGCAGGTGATCAGCTCTTACGTATGTCCATTCCACATTTTGATAAATTTGATTCTTTCTCATTACAGGTTTTCAAACTCAAGTAATGTGCAAAAGGTTTTGTTAGTCACAATGCTTATCCCAGTTAATAGAAATCCAAGTGACGCTTTACTTATAAATATTTTTAAAAACTTTTTGTAAAGTATGTTTGAAGTCTGGACTTAAAAACTAGCATTGGTTGGAATCTGCTTTTGTAAATTTTCCATTTTTCTTCACTTCATAGGCAGTTACGAAGATGGTGCAGGAGTGTTGTACATACATTGAACAGATCACTGACCTACCAATCAAATTAAGATTGATTGACACTTTGCGCACTGTCACAGCTGGGAAGGTCAGTGCATTTTCACCTTTTCTTGAAAGCAGCTTCTTTGATGGCTTGTTTTCTGCTAATTGAATAAATATTTAGGTAACCTGAAACATAATTGAGATTTCCTTTTGCTTTAAGTGCTTGTGTTCTTTTGTGTGTGGGAGCAGGGTGTTTGTGCTATTTCTGAACTTAAGGCACAGATCAGTTTACATTGATCAAACATAAGGGCATGTTGAAACCTTTACTTGTAAATGGATATTTCTAGTACAATTTGATCAGTGCATTTGTGTTTCTGTGGACTTTAGTCAACCTAATCTAATTTTTTTAAAAAACTGCCTTGAGGCTAGCAGGCCTTGCAGAAGGCTAGTTGGCCAATCTGTCATTGTCTTAGCTCATTTGGGTATTACTCCATGCCCTCTATACCCTTATTAGCCAAGTATTTGTCTACCTCCCTCAAGCATATATTCCCACCACGACAACTTTTGAGGAAGTCAATCCCATAGCTCTCTTGAGTAAAGAAGTCTTTTTTCATTACTAACAGATCTTCCTTTAATCTTCAGATTGTCTAATGATAATAAATGTTGTGATAAAACTTGTAAATGGGCTGCCAATCCCAGAATGTGAATATTGTTCTGTATAGATTTATGTGGAAATCGAGCGAGCTCGTCTAACAAGACAGTTAGCAACGATAAAGGAGGAGGCTGGAGAAGTTAAAGAAGCTGCTACAATTTTGCAAGAACTTCAGGTGAGTATCATCAAAATGTAGTCTGATTTCAAACCTTTTCCTTATGATGAACATTGTTCCCTCTTAACACATTGCACTGTGCTATGCAATGTGTTATGAGAGAACCATGTTCATCATAAGGAAAGGTTCTAATAGAACAGAATTGGAATATTAAAGTACATTTTTAGTGGGGACATTTCCATTATAGCAAGATCTCTGGGCCATATTGTATTTACACCACGGATGGAAACTATTGTGTTTGACCCATTAAGCTGCTGCAAAACTTTTGCAACTTTCTAACTAACCAAGCATGAAACGCAAATGTATTTGAGTAATAAATAGCACATATGAATTTGCTTAGCAAAGACATTCAGATGACTCCATCAGCAAGTCCTATCTTGTTTGTGATAACAAGCGGAAGCAGAACCAAATGCAATATAGCACTATAGCATTAATGATGCACTATACACTTGTATGTTTTCATCAGAAAAAAGCTGCTGGTATGCCCCGAATTCTGCACTTAAATTGGATAGCTCGATCGATTATTGATGCAGTTTTTGTGATTTGCTTTTGTAATTTTAGAGCATTCACCTATGAAGCTGCAAAATAAATTGCTTACTGATCTATTACATGAAACTAACTGATGCATTTCAAAACCTGTGTGATGTGACAGTAACCTTGCGAAAAGCACCTTGAATCTTTATGGGACTGTAAACATTTTCAATTGTTCTGCAAATCATTCAACATTTCAATTCCAAAAGCAATTTTCCCATGCCTTTCTAACCCCTTTGACCTTCAAAGTTTAACAAACACTAAAAAGCATTCTTTCAATTTATTAAAATACTTCAACATGCTACATTTTCCCCAGATTTATATTTAGAACATTACTCCTAGCGCTTCAAATTTCATTACAATCGGGACTATTTTAATCAAAAGTTTTTTTTAACAAAACAATTATCTTAAACCAACAGGTTGAAACCTATGGGTCAATGGAGAAGAAAGAGAAAGTTGAGTTCATCTTAGAACAGATGAGGCTTTGTTTAGCTGTTAAAGATTATATTCGAACCCAAATCATCAGCAAAAAAATCAACACGAAATTCTTCCAAGATGAAAACACTGAGGTAAGGATTGTTGTAGATTTGGAGTTGAGCTTGGCATTCAGCCATTTGTCAAATAGGCTCAGTTTCACGGTCTTCACCATTTACTAACTGAGCCATCCAAACATTCTTGAAAAAAACATTTTAAGAGACTAATCTTCATTAATCTGATGTCCTTTTGTGTTTTATAGGAGCTTAAGTTAAAATACTACAATCTAATGATTCAGGTTGATCAGCACGAGGGGTCCTACCTGTCAATTTGCAAACATTATCGCGCCATTTATGATACACCCTGCATCCAGGCTGATAAAACAAAATGGCAACAGGTAAACCATTGGTATTGATTATTGTGAAAGAGCATAGTCACTGAGTTGTTAGGGATGCTTGCTGTTGGGTCTCCTTCTGACTATATGAAATCTGAAATATGAAATTTAAAATACTTGCCCAGGTAATCTTTTGATCTAGTCTATGCAATAATAAATTTTAGTCTTGTGCTGCATTTACATTGAGTCTTGATGTCCTGTAAGTTGTTTATTATGTGCACCGAGACTTGAGTGTTCAGTATTTCACTGTTTGAATAGCTAATATATTTATTATGATAAGAAAAATCCTTGCATTTGATATAGCACCTTATCACATCTTCGAGATAGCTCAAAGCGCTTCACAGAATATACTATAAAGTGAATTGTGGGAGAAATTAATACTATATATTTTGCAGGATTTGTTTCTAATTTACTAGTGTTTGTGATGTGTGTGTGTGTGTATAGGTCTGTTATTTTTTAACTTTTTTTAAAAATCCACTTGTTTAATATGCAGAGTTTGAAGAGTGTAGCTTTGTACGTGATTCTGGCTCCTTACGACAATGAGCAATCTGATCTGGTTCATAGAATCAATGCTGACAAAAAGTTTGAAGAAATTCCTAAGTACAAGTAAGTTTGCTTTAACCTGAATGCTTGATAGAATTTGTTGTTCGTCTACTCATACAAGAAGCTGGTTTTCTAGTTTTCCCAACACCAGTTGTTGTTGTATGAATGCTGTACAATTGAATCCTGTTCCATGCAGCAATTACATATTTACATTTGTTGTATAGCGCCTTTCATGACGGAAGGAAGTCCCAAGGCACTGACAGATTATGCAGTTTTCAACTTTTCAAGAAAAACAAGGCTAACTGGACTAATGGTGGGGAGGGAAGAGAAAAACATTTGAAGAAACAGAATGGATTTTTAGTGTGGGAATCGCGGAATTATTTTCAAACCTGGTTCAGATAATTCCTAATTCTGGATGCATGGCTAGTGGTTTACTGTAACAGATATTTGCAACTGTAAGAATCAGTCAATCATTTGCTCGATGGAATGTGACACTGCTGTAGACTAACCAGATGTTTGCGCTTTACAGAGATCTTTTGAAGCTGTTCACCACCATGGAACTTATGCGTTGGAGCTCGCTGGAAGAGGATTATTGCAAGGAACTGAGGGAAGAGTTGCCTGAAAATGCTTCCACAGATGTGTTTTCAAACACAGAAGAGGGAAACAAGAGATGGAAAGATCTTAAAAATCGAGTTGTGGAGCATGTACGAGCATTCTGTTTAAGTCTATAGCGTGTCCCAATCGTGTTGCATTTCCTATGTAGTTGTGAGATATTATGGAGGAATTGTATTTGTATGACTGCTGCTATTTCATTGAGGGTTTTTTTAATCCCCTGGATTGGAACATGGGTCATTGCCCTGCTTTCACTGTGCACTTTGTCGGTGAAAAGTTAAAATGAGCATTTGTGTTTTTTTTTAAACATGTTTCACACCCAACAGGAGAGATGATTCATACTTGCTTCCAATATGAGTTTAGTAAGGCACTGACTAACAATTCTTGACTATAATCTCAAGGGTTTTGTCAGCCTTCAGGTATTTAGCTTCCTTCATCAATGTCTTGAGTTCAGACCATGAGTCTGATTTAATCTGACATCCACACATGCACACAGAGGTCACTTTTAGGAAATCAATCTGGATTGGGAATTCTTTTTCATGTCTCTTTACAGGAGAATAAACAGCTAATTTTAGCATTGGGACTGCCGACATAGGCATAGATCAGGTAACTCGGGTTGCAAGCCTCTTGCGTAAGAAATGCCAGGCAATAAAAAGACCAAGGTCCATCTAGTTCGTCTTCCAACTTCCTGGCGATTGCATGCACATATGTGCTGAACTACCTATGTACTAGGGACTACGTAGTACAGAGAACTAGGAAGCTCTATATAGTTTTTGTCTAAGCCTTTCATATTATTGATCTTTCAGAATATTCGAATAATGGCAAAATATTACACGCGCATTACGATGAAGAGAATGTCGGAGCTGCTCGATCTTTCCATTGATGTGAGTACCAAACTTTGTCTCGATAAAAAAAATATAACCTGGCAAACTTAATACTCCGAGAACAAACCACAAGAAATGGTCCCCAAAGTAAATGAGTTTGAAAAATGTGCATTTGTGTCATTGTTTGCTTTTTTTCATACAAGTCAGTTTTGATACCACACATTATGTAAGTGCTACTTTAGTGCCTAAGTTCTCCAGCATTTCTAAACCATATTACGTGGCAGCTGTGATCATCAGTAAACATACACATTTTTTCCTTTGTTTAGGAGTGTGACAGTTGAGTAGATTAACCTGTTTTAAATTGAATTTTCTCATTGCCAGTTTTACTCTTGTTCACCTTCTAGGAATCTGAGGAATTCCTTTCCAATTTGGTAGTAAGCAAGACCATCTTTGCCAAAGTGGACAGACTAGCAGGAATAATCAACTTCCAGAGACCAAAGGACCCCAATGATATTCTCAACGACTGGTCGCACAAGCTGAACTCGCTCATGGCACTTGTAAACAAAACCACACACCTCATAGCCAAGGAAGAGATGATCCACAACCTCCAGTGAAGGACGCGATAGGACGCATTCTGTCTTTTGAAAAAGACATCTTAAAATATCAAATTGTCATAATAACCATGCAAAAAAATTTTAAAAAATCTTTGTTTTTGAGCTGAAGAAAGGCAGCTTTGGGTTGTTTGGCGGAAGGTCTGCATGGTTAGATATGGAAGGGAAAACTGGTCGTCTGGTTCATTTCACTGATTTAAAAGGTAACAGACCAGTTTTGAGTGAAGCAGTGTGTGTGATGAATGTACTGTAAATTGGAAAGAACCATACAATTAAAATATGGTTACCCAGCTGGTGACTTTTTTCCTTTGAAACTGTTAACCGTATTTACTATTTGGATTGGTTCATTAAATCGCATATCACAACCTCCATTTCCAATAATTATTCAAAGAGCAGCTAATCTTCATTGTGCTTTCATTCTACCTAGTAAAACATACCATACACTTTGTGTCTTTCACAAATGTGAAGCATTATGATCAGTGTGATGTCTTTAAAATGGTGAAACTTTGATTTGTAAGATTTCTTTATACATGTTGAACAAGTCCCTGTGTTTTTTTTTCCTTTTTGTTCCCTACTCTGCGCACCAATTGTATTTTGGTAAATAAGAGTAAGTGTTCTTCCTTCCATTGCAGGCTGATATCCTGCACTTCTTGTTGATGTGCGTGCCATAGCAACAAACTTTATAAACTTCACCCAGGATTCCTCTTGCAATGTGTTTTAATCTTTTAATGTCTCTGGTGGATTTCTATTAAAGTGTCCATTACACCAAAGATTTTACTCTTACCGACTGCACACTGCTGCCCATACCGATCGCCATTGTGAACTATTTCTGTGCCTTCTGTGGATATAACCAAGCAATCGATGTTTAAACTCCACCAGCTGTTACCTTTCCATCATATTCTAAGCTGTTTCTTAGCAACATCACCAATAAACAGTAACTTTAACCAACTACAGATGGTCCTATGGTTGCAGCTAGAATTATAGAACCATGTACAGGCCACTTCCACTGGATCTCTTAATGCCCATGTAATTTTTCCCTCTCCTGATCTTCCACAACAGTATAGGCTTCACAATGTTGGTGCTGTATTGAGTTCTGAGCTGCACCAATCACTTATTTTTCATAAGAATTATATAATTATTATGTGGAGTCCTGTAGCTCAGTGGTGAGAGCACTCGCTTTGCAAGTGAGAGACCTGAGTTCAATTCCAGTCAGGGCGAAACCTTGGGCAAGTTTCCTTACTCCACACAGTGCCTAATAATAATCCCTCCAAAACCAAAAACAATAATAAATTGGTCATTTTTAATCTACGACCGTTTGTGGGACATTGCTATGCGCAATTGGCTGCCGCGTTCGCCCACAAATATACAGTCAATTCACTTTACAGTTTGTTCTGTGAAGCGCTTTGGGATGTCCTCCCGACGTGAAAAGCACTATATCAAATGCGAGGATTGTTATTATTATAAATCAAAAGCACACTGACCTATGGAATCCAGTATTGTGTGTTTTATCTATATACTGAGGACTGAAATGCCTCATGGTTGTAGCCATCTTGTCTTAACATTAAATACATTGCATTAAATGTAAGATCATGTTGAATTTTGGAACCCCCTCAAATTCTGTCTCAATTTGATAGGTGGGTCTTGCAAGCTAGAGAACACCTATGGTCTTAATTAAACCTGTGAGAATTTGGGCTCTCTTGTTTGTCACCTTACCAGGGAAAGTGCAAAGTAAGCTACTGAATGGTGTCGCCTGTAAATCCAGTAGGGAACACGTTTTCCAACAACTCAAATCATTGGGAGGGTGGTGAAAGATTTTTTCACATAGCAGGAGGTAAACCAGTAAAACAACCAGCGGGTTTTGCTAACGTCCTCTAAAAGAAGCTCAACTCTTGAGAAGGAGCTGGATTTCCACCATAAAGGTGGAGGAGGATCAAGATCTATCCTGTGACGATTGGGATAGTGCCAAGTCAAAATGAAGAGAAAAATAGTGTGAAGAGATCCACCCATCGTGATCTCCATTGATTAAAATCACGTGGATGTGGAAATGGAAGGAAAATGGATCTTCGCGTATCTCGTGCTATCACAGGACACGTCTAAATAAACCATATATATGGAGTTTGATCATTGCCATAAGTTCCAACAACAGCCTGAACCACACTCTCCCCCCACCCGTGTCTTTCTGTTTCTAGATGTCTCGACCTCAATTGCTTTGAGTGAAGTGGGGAAGGACTGCGGTGGAGAATTACGAGGTCAAGTCCGGGTTTGACCTTAAAGACCCCGATGGGCACAAGAGGGAATGAACAATTGGCTCGTAATTATGAAATCGATAACTTACTTCCCAATCGCTCCGCTTGGCGTCGCCGGGCGCACACGGTGAACCGTTGCAAAAGGGGTCAAGTGTTGTAAATTCCAACCCATAAAAGTATTTGCACATCAATGGGAACCTCTGGGGGTGGGGGGGGGGGGGGTCCTGTATTTTAATTACAGTCTGATCCGTGTGTATCTATTGTCAACACACAAACTCTGGGAGAAGTCACGGTGACCTGTTCTGCATGTTCTACCCTACAGTTGAGAAAACTCGCACGACTTGAATGACGAGACGATGCAGCAAACGTGACGAAACCCAACTGTAAATTTCAGAACGTGTTTTATTTGAGAAGTCTCAAACTTCTTCAAGTCTCAGAACTTCTCCCCTGGACGGCCCAGTGGGGAGAGAGAAAGAACCGTTTCTCAACTCGAAGGTCCAAATCATTCTAACTCTAAAAATCACTACACAACCGCTGTAACTGTGGGGCTTTAAATGTCGCTGTTAGAACATCGCAGGGCTCGAAAATGATCGCAAAAAGCTTCTTTAGACGTACACACACATATATATATATATACCCGATCGTAGCATTTCTGATTTTTTTGGTGAGTCCCGGAATAGGTTTTCCTGGATCACTGGAAATGCCTGTGAATATTCCTTCGATTGACATACAGTAGTTTTATGATGAAATTACCTTTCGGGGTAATTAAATTGGAAGCCGTTGCCTCTTCTGCCCATGGGATGCGAATCCAACTCCCTTCCAGGAGGCATTGGCTTCTGCTGTGTGTTCGCACCCACATTGTCACCAAACCATCTTTTCTTGACACTTCAGAAATAAGGATCCAAAATAAATATAACGCGCAGTGGTATCCCTCTGGCGTTCCCAATAACGACCAAGCTTTCTTCCCAAGTGTGACTACCAGCCGGGCCTTTCTGCCACTCTGTCCTCAGCTTCGCTTGGGAGTCCTGTAGCTCAGTGGTTAGAGCACTCGCTTTGCAAACGAGTGACCTGAGTTCAATTCCAGGCAGAGGGCCAAACCTCGGGCAAGTTTCCTTACTCCACACAGAGCCTAATAATAATCCCTCCAAAACCAAAAACAATAATAAATTGGTCATTTTCAATCCACGACTGTTTGTAGGACATTGCTGTGCGCAATTGGCTGCCGCGTTCGCCCACAAATATACAGTCAATTCGCTTTACGGTGTGTTCTGTGAAGCGCTTTGGGACGTCCTCCCGACGTGAAAAGCGCTACATCAAATGCGAGGGTTATCATCATCATTATTATTATTATTATTCGCAGACCCACCCGCCCGCTCTGGCCCGTGATTTTTTTTTGGAGAGTTTCTCGGGTTTCAAACTCCGCGCCCCTCCTTTACGTGGTTCTAATTGGTTGAGACCCCTCCACCCAATCAGGACTAGAAGTGCAAGCGCTCCTGTCTGCGATTGGACCAGAAGCTGCCAATCACCGCGTGTGCGTGGTGGGGAGGGGGTGGGGCGAAGGAGTAACAAAAATAAGTAGCCCTGAGAGTTAACGAAGGGTTAATGGTCAATGTTGGGGAGAGAGGGGGTGGGATACCCACAGAGAGCATCACTGCTCAAAGGCTGCAACCAGATGGATGTTCCTCACACCTCCTGGTCTGGTGCTTGGGGGGGAAAAGGTCTTATCTGCTGAGTGTGCCCCACAGACGAGACCTTCCCCCCAAAACACCAGGACCACAGCATTTTTTTCGATGGAATTTTTTTCTAAAAAAAAAGAAAAAGAGAGTCGGTGTCTGTGTGTGTGTGTGTGTGTGTCGGTGTCTGTGTGTGTGTGTGTGTGTACTGCTGCCGACAGTCAGCCACTCGCTGGTGATGAGATTCAAGTCCAGACTCACCCTTTGAGGCTGAATTCGAAAGAATAGTTCAATCCAATCCCCGCACTCTATTCGCACGAGGTGTCTCATTTCATTTGCTTTTTGGAAACATTTCCAACAAAAAAAAACAGACCCAGGATTTAATATATATATATATATATATTTAATATATATGTGTATATATATATATCTATATGTGTATGAAAACCACAGGGCGCGCAGATAAACGGTCGAAAGTTTTTTTATATAAAAAAGGAAAAAGCATATCTCCATCACTTCGCCCTTTTCTGCATATGATATTAAATCAGATACTTTTATACCCGATAAGTTCCTTATGGCTTTAAATCATCTCAAAACGTTGCACTCCGATGACGTGCGGTGAGTGTTGTTATGTAAGTGGGCAAACACAGCGGCTAATTCCGCACCAGTGGCATCTCAGAAACAGAGACCAAGTGAGTGACTCATTCACCTTATGTTTTGCGGTGAACGTAGGAGGATTGTAGGCTCTTCAGAATTGGAGATTTAATGTCACAAGACAGGACCTCAGCTTCAAGTCTCAACTCTTAGGTCAGCACTTTTTCAACAATGTTGGGGATACTGTCCTGACTTTCAGTCCCAGAGACCACAGTGTTGACACCAGACCCAAATGGATAAAGTGAGCCATCCTTTTGATTCTGTGAGACGACTGGATGAGTTGGAGGGGTGCATTTGTTGGCTTTTTGGTTGAGTTGCTAAAAGGACTGCCCAGCTTGGGGATGGAACCACATATTTGCTGAACGTTTGCCCAACAACAACAACAAGAAGATTCCATTTATTGAGCGCCTTTCACGACGGGAGGACGTCCCAAGGCGCCCAAGGTTTAATTCTCATTCTGTGTTCAGTGGGTTGATCTCAGTCACAGTGGCAGCAAAGAAGATGCCTTGGGCCCTGCTTTAAGAAAGGGGCGGGGTGAGATTCAGTCACTCCTAATTACTGCTGGAAAGTGCAGCACCAAAACTTTGTATTGTTTGTCGGTAAAGAACATAAGTCCCTTCAACCCCAGCAATAAAATGAAAATGTGACTCCTTTCACTGACAAGATCAACGGTGCCAACAGCTTCACCATCTTTATGCCAGCTAACCTTTACAACCTTAAATCCCCAACATAGACCCAATTTGCCAGATGTTCCCGCATTCTTAATATTAAGGCAATTAATTGCACCCGCTTCTCCAGCTTTAGTTCTCACAAGCTGCAGATTTGCCCCCTTATCCCCCTAGTTATTTTTAATATTAATCCTTGCATTTGATATAGCGCCTTATCACGTCATTAAGACGTCATGACCCAACTGTGCAGCGCCTTCGGACGTCCTCCTGACGTGAAAGGCGCTTTATAAATGGAATCTTGTTGTTGTTGTTGTTGTCTCAAAGTGCTTCATAGGTTATACGGCAAAGTGACTTGATTGTGTATTTTGTGGACGAAATGTGGCAGCCAATTGTGCACAGATAGACAGATTGATTTTAAACCATTCAAGGACAAAGCATCACTATTGTAAGCAGGGGGTGGGCAGAGCGGTTATGCAATCAGTTGCAACACATTTGAAACATACTGCAAATTCAGTACAATATATCTGTTCCAACATAAATGGATTTGAAGTTATTGCTCCGGTTGTCACCTAGTCAAAATAAAAGATAAAAATTTGATTATCTGCCGTTCAAAATAGTTCATGATTCAATGTATTTTTGCTGCAAGTTACATTTTGCTTAAGACAAACTTGACACATATATATAGCTGTAATTCAAAATACAATGCAATTTACATTTATATAGTACCTTTCACATCGGGGGGACGTCTCAAAGCAATTAGAAATTTATAATTTTGTAACTGCTTGCTAAAACAAGCTATATATGTATTTTATGTATGCAGATCAGATTTGATTTACATTTTTATTAATGCTCATACATGTGTACACGCTCGGAACTTTTTGTGTGTGTGCTACAACAACTTGCATTTATATAGTGCCCCTCCTGTGGGTAGCGTCACGGAGCGCTTGTAAAAGATTTAAGGTTGGACTGGAATATGTGTTGGGCCAGTTAGTTTGGGGTAGGGCATGGCAGGGCAGTGCTGTGCAGTATTTAGCAGTACTGGACTGGTTGCGGCAGTGCTGGGCAAGGCTGGGTTGGGCAGGGCAGTGATGGGCTGGGTAGGGTAGTGCCAGGCAGGGCAGTGTTAGGCTGGGCAGGGTTAAGCAAGGTAGTGTTAGGCAGGGCTGTGCCAGGCCGGGCAGTGCAGTGCAGGGCTAGTGCTGGGCTGGATGGGGCAAGGTTGAGTTGGTCACCTTCCTCCCCTGGCTCGACTCCGGGATCCGTTACTGTGATGCGCTCTGAGACGCCGTCCGGCGTGGAGGGGGATATATTAATCCAAGCGTTGTTGTTGGGCAAGGTAGGGTAGCGCCAGGCAGGGCAGTGTTAGGCTGGGGCAAGGTTTAAGCAAGCTGGTGTTAGGCAGGGCTGTGCCAGGCTGGGTAGTGCAGTGCTGGGCAAGGCTGGGTTGGGCAGAGCAGTGATGGGCTGGGTAGGGTAGTGCCAGGCAGGGCAGTGTTAGGCTGGGGCAAGGTTTAAGCAAAATAGTGGTAGGCAGGGCGGTGCCGGGCTGGGCAGTGCAGTGCAAGTGCAGTGCCGGGCAAGGCTGGGTTGGGCAGGGACTGGGAAGAGCAGAGCAGTGATGGGCTGGGTGATAGGGTAGTGCCAGGCTGTGCAGGGCAGTGCTGGGCAAGGGCTGAGCAGAGCAGTGATGGGTGATAGGGTAGTGCCAGGCTGGGCAGTGCAGGGCAGTGCTGGGTGATAGGGTAGTGCCAGGCTGGGCAGTGCTGGGTGATAGGGTAGTGCCAGGCTGGGCAGTGCAGGGCAGTGCTGGGTGATAGGGTAGTGCCAGGCTGGGCAGTGCAGGGCAGTGCTGGGCAAGGGCTGAGCAGAGCAGTGCTGGGTGATAGGGTAGTGCCAGGCTGGGCAGTGCAGGGCAGTGCTGGGTGATAGGGTAGTGCCAGGCTGGGCAGTGCAGGGCAAGGGCTGAGCAGAGCAGTGATGGGTGATAGGGTAGTGCCAGGCTGGGCAGTGCAGGGCAGTGCTGGGTGATAGGGTAGTGCCAGGCTGAGCAGAGCAGTGCTGGGTGATAGGGTAGTGCCAGGCTGGGCAGTGCAGGGCAAGGGTTGGGCAGAGCAGAGCGGTGATGGGCCGGGTGATAGGGTAGTGCCAGGCGGTGCCCAGTGCCAGGCAGGGTGGGGGGGTGCGGGCAGTGCGGGCAGTGTGTGTGTGTGTGTGAGAGTGTGTGTGTGTGGAGCAGAGCCTCACGCGCGGCTCGGGGTCACTTTCCCACAATGCCTTTGGGGGACGCTGACAAGTGGATCCAAGATGGCGCAAAAGTAAAGGGAAGGTACGTGCCGAGTTGGGCTGTGGCGGCCGCTGCCTGTGGCCCGGGGTGGGGGGCGGTCTGGTCTGGGCGCTCCTACCCCCCACCCCACCACCCCACCACCCCAGGCGGTGTGAGGGAGAGCGCCCCGGGCGCTCGTGGTGGTGGGGGTGGGGGCGGACCGGGCAGGGCCGGGGCGGCGGCGGCGGGAGTTGTCAGGCCGAGCCGGGCCGGGCCGGGCCGGGGTGGGCCGGGGTGGATTTGTGAGGGAGAGGGAGAGGGAGGGAGGGAGGGAGAGGGAGTTGGCGGCGGCGGCGGCTGTAAATCCGAGGCCTGACCCGTTAGTGCGAGCCAGGCCTCGCTCTCCCTCCACTCCACTCCCTTCCCCCCCGCCCCGTCCACCCCACCGCCACCCATTCCAGTGAGGGTGCGAGTCCCCCCCCCCGCGCCAGGGGGAGGCCCCACGGTGGCGGGTGTGTAACGTGTAAACAAGCGGCCCGGTCAGGCCCGGTCAGGGCCGGGGGGAGGGGAGGGGAAGGGAAGGAGGGAGGGAGGGAGAAAGAGAAGGAGAGAGAGAGAGAGAGGGAGAGGGAGGACTGCACAGTCGGTCACCTCAACGCCGGGGCAAACAGCACACCCCTCCCTGGGTGACCCACACACACACACACACTGGCCGTGGCCTATTAAATATTACTTACACTGTACATTCACCCTCTCCTCTCTCCACCACACCACCAGCTTTCCTGAACAAACATCACTGCTGGAAAAAATTTGGCAGTGATTATTAACCATACTTTATTTTTATATATATATATATAAATTTTTTTTTGTCTTGAGGCAGTGTGAACAGGCACTGACAACTCCAGCTGCTACAGTAGCAAGTTTGTGTCTGAGTACTCCAGGAAATTCCACTTATTAATAATACTGCAGATATACTTTTGATTTACAACAATAACTTTTTGTAGGAGAGCTCGTCTGGACTTTTTATGCAGTATTATATAACTTGTTGGTCATTCCACTGTTTGGTTTTCTTCTGAGTATTAAAGCAATCAAACGTTTCTTTTGATAGCACATTGTTTTATTTTTTTAGATATCCCACACATTCTGCTTCACCTTAAAAACTATCCAAGAGCACTGAAAAATCTTGAACTTTCCACTCCGGTGTCCTAACTCCTGGATGACTCATCCAGTAAGTCTGGACTTGTGAAATTATGCAACTGAAAGTCTGTTTTTTCTTAATGTTAGTGTTAATTTGTGACACTACAGTGCCCAGGTGGTTTTTGCAAAGGGTTCTGTGGATTCTTTTGCCTGGTTCCTCAGCCATTTTAGTGTTGATTAAATGCCACAATGCTTCAATTTACAGCTCCATTTTGAGAAGGGCAGAATCTTCTGAGAGCATCATTTAATTTTTGAAGATATATGTTCTAAGGATTCAAAAACACTTTTGTTTCAAGGATTAGTGGAAAGCATGATTTCAAATGAATTTCCCTATTCCCCTTGTAGAGTTTTATTATGGTATATTAGCAAAGGTGCACTGACACTGGAATAAATTGAACTATTTTGATAACCAATTTTTTAAAGATCCTATAATTTTGAACCATAATAAGCATATTTTAAATAATCTGATTAATATGAGACATTTCTTAATTTTGCTTGTATTCCCCTTTTTATTTTTGGTTTACTTAAATCACCAGAGCCTTATTCTAGGCCCAGGTCCAGCATATTTTGCACACAGGGCTTTGGATATCTTTTAAATGAACTGATGGGAGGAGTCTCTTGATATTTTGAAATTCTTATTAATAAACTTTCCTTTTTCTCACTAGCAAAACTATTTTGAGCACACTTTTTAAACTTTCCATTATCAGCTTAGATTCTTACTTTCGACTCGTTCCGGCCACTACGTGCCCAGGCTTCCTGAACTAGCTGTTGAGAGAGACGTGTCAGAGTGGTTGGGCATAACTTTATTTGTCTCACTCTTCTAATTAATGAAGAATTTGATGAGGCTTTGCTCGTACGTGTTCTCATTGGTTGATTTTTTTTACATTGAGAATCGCAAGTTGAAGGGACAGAATTTCACCAAGGTCGACAAGCGTAGGACAGAAAATTAGAAGTCAAGAATGGTTAGTTGATCCCAAGTCTGGGCTTTAAAAATCTGCATGTTGCACTCTGACATTACATTCCAGTGTGCTATCACCAAACTGCAATATTTTTGCAACTTCTGTGAGTGGAGGTATTACATGTAAATTGTCTATTTTCTGTGTTAGTTTGTCCCACTTTTGAGTTTAATAGATACAGCCAGTGCACAAAAATGTGGATGAAGGGACCATGTCCTTATATTGTTTGTCCTCTGTCCATATTTACATTTCAGACACTTCATTTTTAAAAAATTGCCTATGTCTGAAATATGACCTTAGAGAAGCTCTTGAGATCTTATTCTAGCTGCTGAAGATCAAAAACCAAATTAATTATTTGTGGCCACAGAAGCCTATGGTTGCTGTCGCTGGTGAATTTTGAGGGTTTTGATTTGTTTGTAGTTTATTAGAAATATATGGACTTTGATGTATCTTTTTATAATTTCTAGGTGTCTCAGTGTTGTCTCTAACCGTGCTGCAGATTTACATTTTCTAGAGTTGAGTACTCCAATCCCACTCCTAACATGTTATAGGTATCAACTTGTATGGTTTTAGGGCACACACTCTTGCTGACTTTCAGTGATGGTGCAAAAATATGCATTGTATCCTGGATAGTTTAGGTTATAGTGTGTCCTTAGCAAATTTGTATAATTTAATGTCTATTTATTGTAGAAGTATTGATCATGATTACGCATGCACAATTCCGTTCTTGTATTGAAGGGAATTTCTCCTGCTGTCCTGGCCAACAAACCCTCAGGTAAAATTGGTCCAAGGTTCCTGTTAGAAATTTTGCTGTGTGCAAAATGGCTTCTGCTTTGCCGACAAATACATTATTTCCTGCAAAAGGAAGAGGTACTACAGGTATACCAAATTCAAGCTTGTAGCATGAACCAATTGAAGGAGTTGAAATGTCTTGGTGAGTTCTTTGCTGTATCTCAGCTCTGTGACATGTATGACCTGTTGATGTCAGAAGGGAATAATGATAATGATTCAAATTATTCAGCCTTTGCACTTGTGGTGGCTCGGTAGTTACCATGTTTAGATCAAGTGTTGTATTTATGTGAATTGCTTTGATATTCTGAAATGTTCGGTGTGTATAAGGCCTTCATCATTGGCACGGACTGTTAAAATGTTTTGAGCATGCTTCTAAAGCTGTATTAAAGCTACTGAAGGACTTAATGGAAATGTTATATGCATGGTGGTGCCAAGGCCTGTAACACTGTAGCCTGACCTTGGTGCCAGATGATAATCCTGCATGGTGATTTTGCACCTGAGTAGAAAGCGAAGGTTCTGATATTGGGACAGTTTGGGAAGGGTTTGAGGCCGGTGGTACTGAATTGGTGTAGGAATGGATTATTCTGCGAGGAGCTTTCTTTAGCAACAATTCAATTTAATCGTCAGAAATAAGATCAGTGGGCGAGTGTGAGAGGCATTCTGGTTCCTGCAGATTCTCTGCAAGTTCCACAAATTTAGACCCCAAGTTGTCCAATAATAGCTTTGGTCCAAGTTCTGTACTCAGTTCAGCACAATATAACATTTTTCATAAAAAGTTGGACGTCTGAAATTGTAGAGCCCGAAAGCTGATACTTTCCTTGTAATTTGCATCTGATCTGTATATTTCAAACTTTTCTACTGTTAGAACCTCCTATGGATACCTCCTTTGATATTACCAGCTTTAAAAAGGACTTCTTTAAAATTGGAGATTAAAATAGAGCTAAGACATTGCACTTCCTATTTTAGAAGGTGTATGTGCTCTCCTTTTTTTTTGGAGGTGTCCGCTATCGAAGAGGTCGTGCAGACAACCTTATTCTAGGCTTCTGCCGATGCAGCTGTGAACCTTGTGTTTAGGAGGCACAGAAACGTGGTGTGCTGGTGGCTGTAATGTAGACGAGATCTGGAGCTCTACAGATCAGAGACTTGAATCCAGATCTGACCACTTGATGGCATTGCTACTTGTTGCTCAGTTCCCATTCTTGTGGCACCAATATCTCTTTCAGCTGTTTTATATGAATAGTTAATTTGTATCCATGTTTTTAGTTTTGATAAGAAATGTAAACTTATGGGCAGCATTTATCAAAACATTTTGAGAACTGTTTACAAATTTGTTTTAAAAATAAACATTGTTGAAATGAAAAGTATCATTACTGCAGTAGCACAAAGCAGTGAGATATTGGAACAGATCTGGTGAAGTGACGGGTTGCTATAGACCCCAGCTTCATTAGTATTTATTTTTAAAACTAGTTTCTGACATCTGGATGTGCAATATTATTTTCTAAGATAAGTTTGTGAGATTATAAAATGTTTATATGACTATCCTCTGATCGCTGGACACTAAGTGTAACGACTGCTCCAGTCACATTGCACAATGTTGTTGGTTTTACAGTATTTTTGCCAGTGCTTAGCTTCCAGTTTGGGCTGGTATTGCCATATGTGAGTACATTTCCCAAGCAGTGGTCTGCCTAGATTGCGCTTCGCACCATCTGCATTAGGACTGGAGTCGCTGTGGCTCCTGTTTCTGCAGCTTTTGGAATTGTTCAGCTCTCTGTGCTGCCATTTAGTGTGTATGGATTCTATAGCAATGGTAAAATGACTGGACCCCGGTGCAGGTGTTTAAGTGCCTCCTGTTCCTTCGCCCACTCCTGTTCCTTCGCCCACTCCAGAACAATGATAGTGGGCAGTTTAACCTAGGCTGTCCCTCCCTCAGACTGTTCTTAAAGTTGTACTACATGAATAGCAATACAGTATAACAAGGCTGGACAATTGCTTTTGTATCATAGACCAGTGGTTGCATGCTCTTTTCTTTCCCACTACTCAACGTGTTTGGGTATTGATTCAACATGTCCATGGGGCTCTTGCAGCAGAACTCAGGGTCTGAATGGATTTAGGAGGTCC